TTTTTTTTTTTTTTTGCCACATCCGAACATTAAAACTTCCCAGAAAGCTGGTTTTGGGGTAAAAGGAGCTGCCCACCGCTTCGCACGCCACTGGGAGATACTGGGTTACCTTTGTTTCCCCCCTTGCTTTAAAATGCCTCCTGCTGAGCGCAAGTTTTCCTCCCTTTTGCAGGTGTGTCTGGGGGAAAAAAAAAAAAAAAAAAAAAAGAGAGGCGGTGCCAGGCCTCGGATCTGTTTTCTTTAGGTGGAAAATGTAACAGAACTTCTGTTCTCTTACAGAAATATTACTGGAACTGCCTTCCCAGCTCCCTCGTCTGAATCCCAGCCGCTGCCTGGGCCCTGCACGGCAGGCAGTCTCTGGATTTAAGGCATTCCCCTGCCAGGCGTGGTTTTGTTAGTCCGCCTGCTCAACCTCCCGGCCTGGCTGATGGCAGGAGCTGCTCCCAGCTCTCCTGCCGATGCCCAGCCCAGAGCTCCGGTTTTACAGCCACTCCCCACCTGGCTGAGTGCTGGAGCTCCAGCCTGACTGCATACCCGCTGCAAGCAGCCTGGTTTAGGTATAAAGCAGCTAGTCCGAGCTGAATCTTTGTTAGTGCAAATTTCTCCTCTTCAGCAGATCAACTACTCTCCTCCAGGCAAACGCCTTGGGATGTGGCTAATGGGGGCAAGAGACAGACTCACTCCTGGAGGCTCAGGTGCCTCTTGCAAAGATCTCTTGGTTTCACAGAGAGCTGCGAACACCCCGTGTTTCCTGGTGTTCAAGCCACCGGTGTTTTACAGCCCAATTCATTAGCCCAAGTGGCCCTTTGAAAAAGGGGATGTAATCACCGTGGGGGGAAAAAAAAAACAATGCACGTGCTAAATATAAAATACCGTATAGCTGGGAGGCAGCTGGCGTGGAGCCTGAAACGGCAGGTTCCCGTTTCTCTGGTGCCGAAGCAGAGTGATTTATTCTGTGGTTGTGCTGCAGCCGCCGGGATAGAGAAGGGCCCGTCTGCCTGGGCGCTGTACGGTCCTGACACACAAGCAGCAGTTCCCAGCAAGCAGCCGGCCACAGGTTTTTGTGGCAAAACATTTCCACGTGTGTCTCGAGTCTGATGGAAGGATACTGAGCCCAGCCAAGCCACCACGGCGGTGTAACTGAAGCAGAAAGAGCAAGCCACTTACCCACGTGCAGTCAGCAGCAAAGCCTCTGTTTCCTCCCTCTTCGATCAGTTCATTCAATAAAAGCTGTTACTCCTCCTCAGGTTGTCTCAGCGTGGCCACAAGAGCATCGTGAGAGCAGCAAGTCGAGGTTTTAACACGCCTTTAGGAGGAAGGAGAGCACCCGGCTTTAGGAGAACCGAGCCCGTCTTTGTCAGCACTGCAGGCAAGTTGCAAGAGCTAAAACCGCCGTGAGCTCGGCCCCCGGGAGAGTCCCAGCTGAGCCGGGGATCAGCTGCTGGAGCAGCAAACCCTGGCTGAACAGGCAGGAGAGTTCAGGGAATGCCGTCCATGTGCAAGGAGGGACAACGCCGCTGCTTGTACCAGGGGACGAGCCTTCTGGGGGAGGCAGTTCCCAGGAATCCCAGCTCCCCTAAGGAGCACCCGCGAAAGGATTCAGAGGCAAAGGGCTTTCTTCCCTGCAGTGTGGCTCACGGATTCTGTTCTCAGCGTGACTCCTAAATTCAAATTTCACCGACAATGCCCTCCCACCCAGTTTCCTGCCAGACAACCCCGAAACCACCCCATCTCCGCAGCTAAAACGCTCGATCCGGTCCGACCACTTCGACAGCGATACAAAAGATGTGGGGGAGAGATAAAACTCACAGGGTGTCCTGTTACTTTGCATTCCAATGGGTAAATAAAAGGGCTGATTCAGTGGGAGGAGAGGAGAACGTCATGCGGCAGCTCTGTGGTTTCCAGGCGAACCGGCTGGAGAGCAGAAGGTGGGCACTGGCTCCCGCTGGGCTCTGCACAGGGACAGCTCTGCCTGCTTTCGGGCCCGAGGCACACTGGCTTGGTATGATTCAGCCTCTCCACCTGTAATGCCAGGAGCATAATTACTGACTTGGGAGAGTGGGACCTGTAAAAGTGCGGCGAGTTGCCCTCAGCAGCCACATGCTGCTTTGAGGCAGAGCAGGGAGGTGGTGCTACTTTTCCCAAAGCTGTTCGAGGGTTAGTGTGTAATTTGGATGGGAATTTACCCTTTGATCTCACCTGCTCCTCTCAGGAGCTCTGGAGTGAGAGTCCTGCTCCCAAAACATGACTTTGGCAGGGATCACAGGCAGCTCTGCCCTCCTGAGATGATGAAAGCTGGCCAGAACAAAGGGCATTAGTGACCGGCTCCATCCCGTGGATGATACGGGTGTGGGAGCAAGCAAAGGATGTGAGAGTGTGCAACAAGCTTGGAATGAGAAAATCCACCCTCAGCCCTCCAACACGCCCCAGACAGCCCCAAGACCCGCTTTCTCAGTTAAGGGGGATGGTCTCTCGTGCCTCTGTTGCTAAAGGTACCAGACCCCTAACAGTAGTGGGACTCCAAAGGCATCCCAAAGCACCAGGAAACACCAGCACAGGCTGTAAGCTTGCTCCCGGGACTATACTGCTGGCTGGGTCTCTTTCCTGAACTCTTCTGCGGCTCGTGAAAGCAGAGAAGCCCTTTTCGGGAGCTCTGAATCAGCAACAGCCCTGTTTGCCAACCCAACTGTAAGCACAGAGTGGACAGGCTTGATGGCCTGGTTTCTGGCACTGGGTGCTTTGAAACCTGGCTGCACACTGGGGCACGCCCAAGATTCAGTCAGTTAAAGTCCCTCCTGACTAACGAGCTGCAAACGTGTAAGCTGAGGCCGTGGCTCAGCTGGGGAGATGCAGACAATGCGCTGGAATTACCCATTTCTCTTCAGTTACTACAAACAAGTAGGGCTGGCCTTGCCACCTTCTTATCCACAGAAAATAGAAGTTCAGACTTTGTGTTGGTGTTACCTCAGCTGTTTACAAGCAGAACAACAAAAAAAGAGGCAGCTTTTGACTTTTCACTTATTCCCCTCATTTCCCTCACGTTGTCTGTGCAGAGGTCAAAGGGGTTTTTGCTGGTTTATGGTCCAACTCCTACTGTCTTTCCAACAACTAACTGCCTGATGTTTTTCCAGCTATCCCTCTGGTGGGGTGCACAATCTGTTAACATGAAAAAAGGAGGAAAACTGGCTGCAAACTCGCCTGCAGAGTTCAGCCCGTCAAGAGGTGAGAAGCGATACGTGCTCTCCTAGATGATGTTAAACCTCTCTGGGATGAGGTGGCAGAAGCTGAGTGAAGCATCAGGCTTGCAGACCTGCTCTAGTCCATGCTCCACCCCAATAGCAGGATCGTTAATGTTTGGTAACTCACCTCCTCCTAGGACAATCTGTTTTAGCATTAAAGTGTCCTTACTTCCTGGGAGCTTTTATAACATCCAACCAGATCTCCCTCACTGCATGAAAAATTGGTTAAGCTCTGCCTTGCTTCCCCATGGCTCTTACAGCAATCCTCTGCAGCCCAGACGATTGTGGCTGGCTCACAAGTAGTTGTGGGGTAAGGGTTGTCCGTGGGCTGAAGGAAAGCCCTCAGATTCCTTCCAGCAGATGGCAGGGAGATGCTGGGAAACCTGCCTCACCTTGAACCCACCTCTGCTGAGAATCACAGAACCATCTGGGTTGGAAAAGCCCTGGAAGCTCCTCCAGTCCAACCATGACCCTCCCCCTGACCGTTCCCAACTCCCCCAGATCCCTCAGCGCTGGCTCAGCCCGACTCTCCAACCCCTCCAGGGATCCCGGGGACTCCCCCCCTGCCCTGGGCAGCCCATTCCAACGCCCAACAGCCCCTTCTGCACAGAAATCCTTCCTCAGAGCCAGCCTGACCCTGCCCTGGGCAGCTTGAGGCCATTCCCTCGGGGCCTGGCGCTGGCTCCTTGGCTCCAGAGACTCATCCCCCCTCTCTGCCCCCTCCTGGCAGGGAGTTGCAGAGGGCCAGGAGGTCTCCCCTCAGCCTCCTCTTCTCCAGACTGAACCCCCCAGTTCCCCCAGCCGCTCCCCAGCAGACCTGTGCTCCAGACCCTGCCCCAGCTCCGTTGCCCTTCTCTGGCCACGCTCGAGTCACTCAGTGGCCTTTTTGGGCTGGAGTACTTTTCTTGCAGAATCCACAAGCTGGGAATGCTGGTTCCCAAATAGGTGTTGCTCCCTGTGATGCTTGACTTTTATCATAAAAAAAATCAGGAAAAACAGAAACAGGGATGAAATCCAGCCCTAATGCAAAGCCTGATCCTTCATGACAAAATTTTTAAGATCCGGGCGCGTGGATGCAGTCGATGAAAACTTTCTTCCTACCGGAATCAGCTGCTGGACTTGCTAACTCTGAAGGGATACAGCACCTTTCAACTTCGACTCACCTCCACAACACAAGCCAAAAAATAAAAATAAAATAAATCCCATCAACCAGGCACAACCCCAAATTTCTAATTACAAAGGACTCATTCCTCTGAGTGGGGGCTCTCTCTCTTGCTCACAGCTACCTGAAAACACAGAGGAAGCTTTCCTGTTGCCCTCCAAAGGAACAGGGTGCTATATTTGTGACAATGAAGCACTTGGGGCTTTTGGGGCGAACCTCAGCTTTGCACATGAACTCTTTCCCGCCTGGCCAGCTGTCCTAGTGCATGTTTGGAACCACCACCCAGGTAAGTGTATGATTTTTGGTAAGGCACCAGCTTCCTACTGTAAAAGGAGAAAGCTCTTAGACCTCTCTTTGTTAAGATATTGTTAATAATTGATAAATAGAGTCTTATAGGTTTAATTGCTAGAATACAGGTGTTTGAAGAACAATACTGACAGTCCAATGCCAACAGTGCTCATTTGCCCCCAGTGCAGCCCTCTCAATGGCTGTCTTAAAACCCAGTCAAGCTGAATTAACAGAAATTAATTTTAGGTATTAAGT